AGGGAAAGATGGAATTTGAATGACATAGCTCTCTTCCTTTAGCCCATATTTTAAGTGGGAAATGAAACAAATTCATTTAATTTAAAAATTATTGGAGGTAATACACCCACCCCAGTGGAAAATGACCGCACACTTGGAACACATGGGTTATCAATTAAGTTGAATTAAAAGCAAAACAACCCAGATGGGGGATACAGATTATATGAATACATAAGAGTAAGATGGTGAAAAAGCAGCCTTTTTATTTTAAAGTAAAACTAAGTATTTAAATCCACCGAAACAACAAACACGCATTGCCCACAGAATTCTGCATCACATTACGTCAGCAGAATGCGCCATGGGAAGGTTTCAGTTTTCCTCACAAGTCCAGTCAAAGAGACGAAAAAAAATCAACAAGCACAACACGCACACCCTTGCAACAATATAGACTGACTTTCACTGCCTGTGCTATAGCAAACATTATTTTCAACTAAGGGCTGAGTTTCAGCTGAAAAGTTTACCTCTGAATAGCCACACAACTTTCTGCACAACTGAACTGGGGACTAAGGGGTGGGAAACGCTGTTCATCTTGAACTGCCACCCTAAGAATGGGACAGCCCAGCTGAACAAAAGTCTAAGACACTATTAGGTTCAAGGGTGAACAGCTTCTTGTCCTCTTAGGCACCCATTGACAACTGCAGACACAAGAAAAAGATATCATAATCAGAAAGCAAAGCAATCCTTCTCTTCTTACACTTACCTAAAAAAACCAAAACAAAACAAAAATCTGCTGTAAACTGCTTGTATTTTCCAATGGCAATACTTTTAATTACACTGCACTTCAAGACCCACTGCAGCTAAAAGGGAGAACACACCAGCTTTGTTTCTGAGTCAAGAGACAGCATCCAGAATAAATATGGTAGGTTTCCAGATGTACGTATGGGCTCTCTTTTTAAAAATGTGGACTCTCAGAATTTTATAATGCTGTCCTAACCCATGATAAAGAGAAATCTTACTTACATTTTAAAGCCCAGACAAGTTTTTTCTCAAATTGCTAACACACATACATGTATACTTAACTCCATGCACGAGTTCGTCTGAAATCTGCGTGACTGCTGCATAGATGAAGCTAAGCATGCACGCATAATCACATGTAGAACTGGAGCTTGACATTAGAAAAGCTTTTTGCCTCTATTACTAAATTTCAGGAAACATCCATTAGTCTGGGCATGACTCCTGTGATCCGTGCTTAATCTTACACATTTCCTCTAACACCTGTAAAAACTTCCAGCTTCCCCTGACATCTTCAGCAGGCAGAATAGATTTCCAGCTCACACATCTGAAGCATGTTAAAATTGCAGAGGGCATGGCACTAACTTCTGTTCCACCTAATATCAAAATAAAGGGATACTGCCCTTGAACTGGGAAGAGGATGTACAAGAGACACCTTGGGTCAAGCAGCTGGAACAATGGGATATCAACCAAGACTCACAGGTATAAAATTCTTTAGTGAGAGACAGGACTCCTGAAAAAAAACATGTTCTCACGGCCTGTTTTCAAACTTCCCTTTCATACTTTACATTAGACCTACAAACATGGGGTTTTATCATGTTTAATCCATACCATCTTTTACTTTTATCCACAAAGCTGGAGTTTTTAGATCCAGTTAAGGCTAGGTATAAATACTGACCTAAAGCAAAAGAGAGAATCCATTCTGAGAGATCCTTGAGGACACTGCAGCAGTTCTGAATCACCTCTTGAAAACGAAATGAACCAAAGACCAAAGAAGACATCTCTCCATAGCCCAGGAGAGAAGGACTTACCGGTCTGTTGTGCTCTTTTGGGGTAAGTCTTGCTGCGGCTTCTTTCAATGCACTGGTCAGGCCGCGGGAGCTGCACAGAAGGGTCTCTGGTCATTTGCAAAGATGTCCGGCCACTTGAAAACACAACAAAATCATGGGAAAACACTTGGAAAAATGATCAAAGAAACAGAGGATCTTTAGATTGAAAAAAAAAACCTGAACGGTGCTGCATGGGCAGCATGTTTTGTTAGTTATTCACTTCTCATCCCAGCTCTGGTTCTCCTGCAGAGCAGCACTACCCTGACTTTTGTTTTGAATCAGTCACTGGCAGAATCATAAACAGATTGTGCCAATCTCTTCTATACTGGGTATTTTCAGGAGGAGCTACACAACTAAAACAAAATGCTGATTTATGAGGAAGAGACTAAGATAAGTGCGACCTTTTGTAACCTCGAATATTCTAACAGAAGACTTTCTTAATTAATTTGATTACTTCCTCAGTTCTTTCTGTAAGTTTTTATCTCAGGAAAACACATATTTAACATTGTTCAGTTCCAGTCAGTAAGGGGCTACTTCTCTGCCATGTGGAATGACAATGTAAAGGGCATGGAAAACCCCACGCAAAGCAAACTGTAATAAAATACTCTCACTAGCACAGGCCCAAATGATAGTAAATTGAGTAGAAGCCCTGACTCCCGTTTACAGTAAGGCTCTTCTTCATCGCACAATTTAAATGTTATTGTTTAAATAAATTCTTTTATGCTCATTTTAATGTTCCTCTCCATGTGACTAAGCCAAATAAAGCGTTCATGACAAAAATGTAAAACAGGCCTCATATTCCTCCCCAAAACTCCATGTTTGCTTCTGGAAACTTACTACACAAGAGAAGTAATTGTTAGTATTAACTCCCAGTTGCATAAACACCTGCAGCTCAATGACTTAGAAGTAAACAGGTATCATACTAGCAAGGGCCAAGCAACTATATAGGCATTACATATGTAGATTTTCTGAGTTATGTGAATAGACTCCACTAGGATGATTGTATTTTCACCGATAGCCCCACAGGGGTAGTCAGCACTGCAGAATTTTTATCTTCTCAAAATTTTAAAAGAATTAAAGGACAAAAAAACTCAAATTCTAACAGTGCACCACAGTAATGCTGTTTTTTGATATTTGGTTTAATGGTTTTTTTGCTCCTAAGTTAGCCAGAAAACACTTCTATTCAACTTTTAAGTTCAGCAAGCGTGCCAGTCTTGCAAATTCCAGAAGTGGTTTTAACAAAACATCTGGGGATAAGACCTTCCACTCACACTAACACCTCCATGTATTAACCAAAGCATCTGATCTTAAGACAAGGAAATTGCTTTCCTGAAAACTGTCTGCCACCTAATGAGAAGTACCTAGAAGATTTAAAAAAAAAAAAAAAAAGGAAAAAAAGCCAAAAGATTAATATTATAGTCCCCTTACATACACAGTCAAATGGTGGGATTATGGTTTCTGCTTTGAGCTAATGATGTATACAGATACGCAACACTGTCACTTCTTTCAGTGCTACAACAGGGACCAAAGGTAAAGAGGGAAGACAATCAAAGCTGATGGATAAGCAAAGAGAAGATTCTCAAAGCACGTGAAAATGCTGTTAGTGCTGAATTCCAAGACGAGAGTTAACATGTCAAACACCAATTGATTATCACTATTTATCATTAACGCTGTATAATCAATATGGTGCAACTAGATGTCACAACCCCCATTTACTAGAACATCCATTCAGGTCAGAGAGAGTCCTCAAGAATCCCTGCAGCAAAACAGGGAACACTTCATGCTAGAAGGGAAATACATAATTTAATGTGTTCTAGACAAAACTAACATTATAAACACAGCTGTCAGTAATGGCCATCATCCCAACATGGCAATCCATATCACAGATCACCCTTGAAACTTCAACTTCCTTGAAAGGAAGACGAGCTTAAATGCACCACCAGCAGGAGTAACTCAAATGTAGTTAACTGCTTCATGGTATTTTTTTAAAATTGATTGGAAGGTCCTGGTAACTACAAAACTTTCTCCTCCCCAGCACCAATGTCCTGCTCCAATCTGCTGAAATGGTCCAACAGAGGAAACTCATCTGCAGTAGTCTGGCAGGAATCCACTGAAGTACTGTTCAGTTTCAAGGTGGGGTTATATGGGTCAGGATCCAACTAGAAACAGTACATTCATTCTTCTATTATCTACAGTAAGAAGCTGCATCATGCCAGATAATGTAATAACCCAGATAATCTGTATTATTATGAAATATGTTGCAGAAGATGGGACAGAAACACATCAGTGATCCTGGCTGGATACAGTTGACATTCAGTCACATGAGCTCAGGCTCAGCACTGGCATAGTCATCTCTCCATCAGTAACACCTTCCTTGCAAGCAAGATCTTACATCCAAGGGTAACAGACAGTTGACAATGAATTCTGATTGACTGATGACAAGGGTAATAGAGCTACTATTACATGCTGCTATTAGTACCTACCACAGATACTAAGTCCATTCCAGGAGCTGCTGGAGAAATTGGGGGCCATGGTTTTCTTGTTTTCAGAAAAGTCTTCCTAACAGGCAGTGACAAAGAACTTCCTAACTAATGATTGTCAGCCTTACCTATTACGATCCATGTATTTCTTGCGTGATGATGGAAATACAAACAGGAAGGAGAGACAGACAGACAAGCCAAAAATAAACCTAAACAAACCTGGTATATTTGCAGGCCATGGGAAAAAAAAATCTTGCCATTATAGTAAATAGGGCCTTTTCACCTAGCAGCTTCAAAATAACTACAAAAGATGAAAAATGTTTTTATCCCCAGTTGACCAGCAGGGAAAATGAAAATGGAAAAAGAAAGGGTCCTGGCTTTCAGATGTGGTTTTGATTTGCTGCTTTCCACCCTCCCTTTCAGGTTCACTGAATATGCAACTCAACCAGACCATGAATTATTTGGCTCAAAATTGCTCAGCCAATGTGACAGAATTGGATTTAAAACAGTGGTCACCAATTGCCAAATCAAGTGCCTTACTCAGTAGACAAAGATCCTGTCATTTCAACAGACTTAAAAACATAAAGTCTCAATAAAAGTCAGTGAAAACTACTGGGTTTCTGACATCTTACAATTTTAACTACATCCTATATTCTGCTAGTCCTTTGTGGCACAGCAGCTAGAGGATCTTAAACCCACTCTCCCTGCCACATCTTCCTCTGTATCACGGTATTAACTGCCCTTTATTCACACTGTCTGCTTGGTTAACTCAGGCTAAAATTGAGACTAAGTGCTCCCTATACACCCTTAGTCTGAAGTTTACTGCATCTTTCAAGGCTTGCAGCCTTGAATGCTTATCCAATTTTGCCAGCTATTCCAGTTAGAAAAGATACCCCCATCTTCCTTCAGATCTGCCCTCATTTTTATTCTTAAATCAACAGCACTGTACCAGCAGTACTGCTACAGAATTAGATATAACCATTCGGATCAAGAGCCCTTGCCATAGCTCAACTGCAGCTGTAAAGAAGGACATCACAGTTACAGACTTCATATGCTTCTTTGCACCAGCCCTTTGTTAATTTCCAGAAGAAAGGCAGCAGCCAACATGCCTCCTTGTTTTGGTGTTCCCCAGTTGTCAGGAAAAAACCTTTAGGACATGAACATAATTTCAGGACTTCTAAGGAGATTTTGACTTAAAGTATTGCCAAGGCTGCTCTCACTTTCACTACGGGCTACAGCAGGCCCTAGCCAACTCTGGGGATCTGGAGCATGAGAAGTAATTCACATTTGTCCCAAAACTGCCAGACTCCCAAGGGGAGTCTGTTAAAATGGCCCTGATTCATGCTTTGTCAGCAGAACTGCTCTGAGTCATAATCTGTGTGAGGTTTTTCTTCCATTGGAAGAAAAGAGGAGAAAAGAAGGAATGAAGAAGGAATTAACTGCAGTTTAAACAATGAAATAAATTCACCTGTACCGATGTTTGTAACCTATGGATCCAAACTTGCTGAATTTTCTTGACAGAGAGTTTGATTCATTTTCTGGCACTCTATGTAGTTTGAAAAAAAAAACAACAGAATAAGTTACATAGATAGTTACATAGTCCCCTTCCCAAGAAAAGAGAAATACAAACTTTAGGTTCCAAAAAAAATAATTTTCTGCTAGTTCCTCTTCATCCCTACCTCCAGGCAGACTCTTATGGGGTTGAGAGCTCCACAAAGCCGTATGTTTATGCCCTCCTCTTTTCACTACACACCTCTTTATTTCAGGCTCTACTGTAAACTGCTGGCAACAACAGTTGGCAACAACCTTTCGCTTAATATTTCACAGGAGCAGGCAAAAACATCATGCCACAGTAATGAGACTACAGAAGGGATTCTGAGCTTACTCATTTACAGCACTGCTAAAGCCAGCCCCAAGCATCTCATCAACCAGTTCCTAGCTAGACACCATTGCACATTTCTGTTCGTGTTTTTGCAACAATAAAAGAAAGTGTTTTGAGATGTGTAATATTGGAAACATTTTATACACTTCAATAAGTATGCAAAACATTATGGAAATTCAATGAGTCTTCCTATCAAAAAACAAAATTCCTGTGCATTGTAGGAAATCGTAATGTCTGAAATCCAAAGGCCTCACTCAAGTCAAGGCTGCTACAAAAAAATTGATGGTTAAATACCTAAAAATTTATATGGCAGCTTAAATCCTGCCACATGCATTTGTGGATACTTCTGTTAAAGCCTACTTTATGCAACCTGCGATACTGTTTCAAAAAGAATTCTAAGACAAAAGAAACCACCGAACTACCCAATTTTAAAATTATTGTTTCACATCATTGTAAGAAAACAGAAGGCATCCCCTTTTAAGAGCATTCTATAACCAAGAGCAAAAATATGTTTCCAGGCAGCAAGCCTGTGTTACACCACTCTGTAGGTATAACAACGTTCTTACTCAATATAGTCTTCCTCCTTTGTTAATGAAACCACAACTTCTGCATCACTCACCTGAAAAATGTATGATGTTCTACACAGCATTTCCACAGATGTTTGCATGTGATCTTGTTACGTGCTTCAAAAAAGAAGGAAGTTTCATTGCACTGAAAACAAAACAAAGCAAATCAATATTATTATGAGCGATTCTGCCAGTGAAGTGAATCTTCATTTACTGAACACAAGAACCAACCATCTCATATCAGTGCACATAAGAAAAGACATTGAAAAGCAGGTTCTATAATTTGGTAGAATTCTTCATTTAAGAGGTTTTCTTTTTGTTTTCTCATTGCCTGAAAATAATTATTTAAAGAATCAATTCCTTAGGTACAGAAAAACAGAAGAGAAGATTATTGAAACACTTCTGTTCCTTCATTCTTGTTCGTAGAATGAGCTTTTTTCCTAATTAAAAAGCACGAGGTTTTTTTCAAATAGTATGTTTCTGATGTTTTCTGAAACTGCACCTCAGATGTCAAGCAAAAATATATTCCCAAGGCTCTGTTTAACGGTATACAAAAAGGCAAGAATAAGTGAAAGAAAGAAACTCAAGATTTGTGATAAACTAAAATGAACTAGCAACAACACAGAGAGAAAATGCACAAAACATACAAGTAGAGAAGAACCAAGGTAAAACCGGAAATAAAAAAGATGAGAGGAAGGAAAGATTAAAAAAAAATTAGCTAACTTCAGAATAATTCAAAATACAAGAAAAAAGGTCAAAGGCAAAAGCTATAAAATCCACCTTAAAATCTCTTAAGGAAGACAACAAAAAAGAATATTCAAAGCTTAAAACCTAATCACTGGAAATTGGCAGGCAGTACAATAGACATAAGAAAAAGGCAGGGAGGGATCATAGAATCATAGAATAGTTTGGGTTAGAAGGGACCTCTAAAGGTCATCTAGTCCAACCCCCCCTGCCCTGGGCAGGGACATCTTCAACTAAATCAGGTTGCTCAGAGCCCCGTCCAACATGACCTTCAATGTTTCCAGGGATGGGGCATCCACCACCTCTCTGGGCAACCTGTGCCAGGGTTTCACCACCCTCAGCGTAAAAAATTTCTCCCTTATATCTAGTCTCAATCTACCCCCCTTCAGTTTAAAGCCGTTCCCCCTCGTCCTGTCGCCACAGGCCCTGCTAAAAAGTCTGCCGCCATCTTTCTTATAAGCCCCCTTTAAGTACTGATAGGCTGCAATAACGTCTCCCCAAAGCCTTCTCTTCTCTAGGCTGAACAACCCCAACTCTCTCAGCCTTTCTTCACAGGAGAGGTGTTCCATCCCCCAGATCATTTTCGTGGCCCTCTTCTGGACCCGCTCCAACAGGTCCATGTCTTTCTTGTGCTGAGGGCCCCAGAGCTGGACGCAGTACTCCAGGTGGGGTCTCACCAGAGCAGAGTAGAGGGGCAGAATCACCTCCCTCAACCTGCTGGCCACGCTTCTTTGGATGCAGCCGAGGATATGATTGGCCTTCTGGGCTGCGAGTGCACCTTGCTGGCTCATGTCCAGCTTTTCATCCACCAGTACCCCCAAGTCCTTCTTGGCAGGGCTGCTCTCAATCCCTTCATCCCCCAGCCTGTATTGATACCGGGGATTGCCCCAACACAGGTGCAGGACCTTGCACTTGGCCTTGTTAAACCTCATGAGATGACAGAGAATTCAGACATACAGAAAATACAGAAATATAAAATACTTCAACAGACAAGAAGCAACATACACATCACACTGCTTGTCACCAACAAGCTAAACATTCAAATATGTTCACATAAAATACACTTCCATATATCTCACTCAGTAAACTTAAGTGTTCAGTTTTGTATCTGTGATTTGCACAAAGAATGAGTAGTCCCACTGACTTCAGTGTGAATCCTCAGCATGGTATGATACCATCTGTAATAAAACTGAGTCCTAAAACCATTTCCCCAATATGTGAATTACAAAGGGGGTATGATTCATACCACTTTCGGCAACTGATTTTAGGAAATGGATGCCCTTGCGTTAGTTATACTTCTGCAGTGCCATGCATACGTAGGTATGGCAAGAGTTCTGGCAAGTTTCTCCCACTCTTCATTTAATGAGGTATGGTGACCTGCAAGCACCTTGCAAACTGTGAACTAATTCAGTATGTTCTCTAGAATTCAAAATTTCACCTCTAACAAAAACCAATTATATCTCTATTAACGGCTGCCATGCAGCCTCACAAAATCACAAATTACCTGCTCAAGCAGCCTTTCCTCTACCTTGAAACAAATAACAGTAAAAATGAAAGAACTTTGCACCTGTGGTTAGAATAATTGAGACTTCAATCCCCGACAAGGAAAAAAAAAAAAAAAAATGGAGACATACACATGAGCTTATTTTCTCACATGGATTATTTTAGTTAGTTTAATGGCTGGCTGGAATAGTCCCATGGAATATCCAAGGAATGAAAATCATCCTCTAGTCTTCCCTCAAAAGCACATTTTCCTCTCCAGAGCATCACAGCAAGAAGGAGGAGTACAGTAAGACATACGGCCTCTGAGAATACTGAAAACTAGGATTTAGCTGAGATTGCTATGCATAGCATAAAGTGATTATATAGCAGGTTAGTCCCATAACTATATTCCTACAGTTACTTAAAATACAATTTCAAGCTTGATAAGGATCTTCATCTCTCTGCAGGATTCACACGGGTTTTAACTTGTAGCAAAAGTAAGTTTAATTTATAAAAAGTAAAACCAGAAACTTAAAAACTGAAGCTCTTTTAACACAGAAAAAAAATCTAAGTAACTAGGGGAAAAAAGGAAAAAAAAGCTTCCTGGAGAATCTTGAAGATTGTCAAGGAGAAAAATTTATTTATACTAGAATTTTCAAGAGTAACCATATTGCTCTTTCTCCACTGGCAACCAGAAACAAGAGTCTATCCACTGAAAGATCATGCTGCATTTTTACATTTTTAAAGTTTTAAAGAAGACATGTCAAGGGGTACTTTTCATTCGTTTATTTTACACATAACAGAAAGGTAGCTTCAGATTTTATTATTTAATTTACATTACAATTTCTAGATCAGACTGTCATCTGATGTGATTTCATATAAACCCACACAACTGTAGTCACCAGTGCACTTTTAAAGAATAATATCAGATCAGGCCTGTGGTATTGCAAACTTTATGGAATATGATGAGTCAATTTAACTTCTGTTAGGAAAGAACTCAATGACTCACTTTTAATATGCAGGCTCTTGCTCCTTCTTTGTCCACTCCTAAATTTTACTTTTAGGCAAAGAACTCTCTGCTGCACTTAAATTTATTTAACTACATAATCTCAGAGGAGGTAGTTTGTGGGTTGGGGGAAGAGAGGGGTGGAGAGAAGCCACGAGTGTTTTGGCTTTTTTTAAAGAGACTTTTTAAAGCAAGGTATTTCTGCCATATCTTATTATTAGCCCAGTTCAAATGCCAGTGGAATTCAGGGAAAGTTTCCCATCAGGGAAAAGGTTCTACTTGTCCATTTTTTCTTCTTTTTTTAAGTTAAAGTTTTGGAATTTTCCCATACACAGAACAAATGGCACATAACACATGAAAATCAGTAAGCGACTAAAAGAGGGACAGTATAGCTACATTGCCATATGACTGAAAGATCTGACCAGCAAACATTACTGATTCCATCATTTGAAGGCATTATTTTCTAAGGTGGAAGAAAGCTCCTGTCAGCTGGTAAGAAACATATTTGATGGTTAACTACATGCTATACTTAGTATGCAGCAATCAAAGGCACTCAGGAAAAAACAGCATAGCCTTATAGATCCAATCTATCAACAAGTTATGGAATTCAGATCTAGAAAATGAAACAACTGCCTAAAAATCAGGGGACGGACCAGCAAGCTTTCTGATAACACACTGAGGTTGACTTATTTGAATTTGAAGGAACAGCGCATGTCTGAAAACTATTGCCTCAGAATGGATGCTTGTAATAAGTCAAATAGCGTAGTTAAATTTTACTAAAGAGAAAGAAAGAAAGCCTAAAACATTCATCTCTGAGGTCTTTCACCAACACAGAGGAGACAATTCATAATCCTTTTACCATTTTTCACCTTTTCTGTGAAGGATTCAGTAACGTACTGCAACTAAGGCCAATATGACACTGTATACAGTGTATCTAGGTTTAGGACTTCTTCCATTTACTTTTTAAGACTTTTTAAGGCTTGCAAGAGTACTGTGATTACCCTCAGAATTTATAAATGCATATATAAAAATTAAGCAGTACTGAAGGCAGTAGTATCTTTCAGGTTTAATCTTTCTCCCCTAAGGGAATAAATTGATTTGTATAAGTAAAGCAAGGATGACCTTACCTGTTAACATCATGAACTTTTGTTTCCAATAAAAGGCAACATTTTTAGCATTTTGAACAATTGTAATTTCTTACAGGTAGTGAGAGTTAGCTGGGTTTTTTTCTTATTATTCTCATCTGTCTGAACCAAAAGAAACAAAGACCTATTGTACTTTTACTAATGATTTATAGGAAATGACAATTCCAAACTCATTCAGTGTTGTTTGATGCCTCACCAGCGACTCCCTGCTACTCATCCTGTTGCTTTCAGAATGCCCAGTGTATTAAAGGTGAAGCATTGTAAACCATGATGGCTCACTGCTTCCAGAGTGGTTCTGGTCATCTCCAGACTGTGAAGATGTCCCCTCTCCTCTGAACCAGCTTTGGTGTTTGTCTATTCTTTCAGGAAGCCAGTTGTGCTCACCAAACAAGCAGAAAACCACTTATTTTTGATCACATCTGTGAATTGCACGAGCAAGGGAGATGGCAGGACCACGTGGCTAGAGGCTTGAAAAGGACAGGCAGCAGTACCTAGTTGTTGAGCTCTTTGACTACCTTCTCCTAATCCTGAAAAAGGCAAGACACTAAAAAACTGTGAGGACAAACATAAAATATTCCTCTCCTTTTAAATGCTTTAAAAGTTTGTCCTGCAGTCTCCAAAACATGCTAAAGCTCATACTGCCATAGCCTCACCACGATTTTTACCCATGGGAGGAGAGACAGACTAGCACAGGGAATGCAGATAGCTTGATCATACTACGAGCTTATGAACAGACGGGCACTCGAACATGTAGCTACAGCCCTTATC